CCCTCCTCCCTCCGCCATTCACCATCCCCTCCCTCCTCCCTCCTCCCTTTGCCATTTTCAACCGCCATCTTTCATCTACTCCCTCCCTTCGCCATTCACCATCTCCTCCTTCCTCCCTCGGACACGGTGCACCATCTTCTTCCACCACACAATATATATATATATATATATATATATATATATATATATATATATATGTTAATTTGAAATTTCTAGCCTGCTTTAAATTTTTGTTCTTTGGTGGTGGGAGAGGGGCGTTGTAGAGTTGGGGGTGGTGGTGGGAGGGGGTCGCTGTGGAGTTTGGGGCAGAGGTGGGTTGGGGGGAAGGGGGTGGGGTGGGAGAGGGATGTCTGAGGGGGTTTGAAAGAGTGTTTGATGAAGGGGCTGACACAACCTTCGCTATGGGGTTGTGCTTGTAGGACATAATGGCGCAGAAACACAATGCGAATTTGTTGAAGAGACACTACACAGACCATGCGCCCCATGGTGCGGATCAGGGCAAGGGGTCGAGGTATTGGCAGTGCAACTACTGCGAGTGGAGGTTCATCGGCACTGCATCGAAACTGAGGGACCATTTCGAGAGGAAGTGCAACATAAACTTGGTGGCGAGACTATTGTCGGCGGAGGAGAGGATCAGCAGGGAGGCAGCGATCCGACAGGTGAAGGACTTTGTGTTTGCGGTCTATGGTGGAGGAACTCCTTCAGGTCTCAGCAACCTGTGAGCAGTTTGGTTGTTGGGAGCAGGCTCGCTGGCGGCGGTAAGTCAACCAACCCCCCACGGACCGCGGGAAGTCTGCCGCAGCAGGGACATCTACAGTTGGCGCAGAGGTAACCACAGGGGCAACCACAGCCAGTGCACAACCCTCAGTGCCATGGCCTAGCAGGCAGACACAGTGGAGGAGGCTGACAGCATTGTCACCAAGAATGAGGTCACCACCCATAAGCTTGATCAATGGATGACATGCACTAGTCAACCCTTCAACATTTTGGACAACGAATTCTTCCTTGAGATGACCGGCGCGACGCGGAATGCCCATGCTTCGTGGAAGTTGTCAAAGAGAGACGAGGCGAGGACGAAGAGACTAGACGGCCAGTATTTGCGTGTGCAGGCGGATGTGAAAGGCATGCATAGTGAAGAAGTGGCAGGTGACTAAATCATGCATGATTCAGCTGGACGGCTGGAGCGACTGGAGGAACAGACCGTATCTGAACGTGATGGTGTCATCTCCGATTGGCACTGTCTTCAGGAAGTCCGTCTGCATCGAGGGGCTGGAGAAGGACGCAGCGGCCTACTTCAGGACCTTGGACGGTGTCATCAACGAAATCGGGCTGAAGTCGGTGGCAGGGTATGCGTGAAGGCGGGCAAGATGGTGGAGGTTGTCTACCCGTGGATCTTCCTTGTCGGTTGCACGGCGCATGCGTTGGATTTGGCATTGGAGGACATGTGCAAGCGCATCAGGTGGCCGAAGAGGGTGGTGGAAAACGGAAGCAAGTTGGAAAAATTCTTCACAAATGTCGACAAGGTTCGTGTCGTCTATTGGAATGCAGGGGCAACAATGCAAGTCAAGCGACCAGCAGTGATTCGCTTCACAACACACTTCGAGACGTTGCAGTCGATAAAGGATGCAAAGTTCCCACTTCAGCAGTATGTGGTAGATCCTGTGTGGAAGGAGAAGTTGGTGAGGCCTGACCAAGTGGCGAACTTCTTGGACATGACTACCATCATTTTGGACACGACTAACTTGTGGCCCTCTGTGGAGAAGGCTCATGCGGTGATGGAGCCTGTGGTGGAGTTGTTGTGTCTGGTTGACGGACCCAGCGCGACAATCGGCAAGGTGTACTTCCGCATGGACAGCCTTGTGGAACGGATGCGCAACCTCGATTGTCTTACGGAGGATGAGTGAGGCGAGGTGGAGATTATATTGATGGACCGATGGGCTTTCCTCACTTCTACTCTCCATTGCACAGTAGCATTCCTCGACCCTGAGCATCATTTACGCAATCCTGGGCCAAAGGACAAGGAGATTCGGGACGACTTCAACAACTGGTTGTATGTGTGGGCTGATCCGGGGCAGTTTGCGCCCCTTAGCCGCCAGGTGGACAAGTGGGTGCGACCGGAGAAGCTTATTGGGTCCACGAACGCAATAGAGGAAGCCAGGGTCCAGAAACCGACGTTGTGGTGGGAAACTTTTGCGGGGTCATTGGACCTTCTTCAACCCCAAGCAATCAAATTTCTTGGGCAAGTGAGGTCCTTTGCGGCATGCGAGTGGAATTGGAGCTTGCACGAGCTCGTCATGGGCAGGCGGCGTACGAGTGGCTTGCCACCAAGGCTCATAAAACTTGTGTACAATAGTTGGAATATCCATCTCTTCTAGGGGAACCGGCAGGAGGGGTTCAGGGATGTCCACATCCCGTGGGAGAACAACGAGTCGTTGAAGGAGGAGGTGGAGGAGTGGTACAAGAGCTTCAAGGAGCAGATAGAAGCCGACCAAGTTCATATGCCTGCAGATTTTGGTGCGGAGGCAGAAAACGGTGAACAGTTGATGATGCAAATGACTCGAACGACGACATGGCCGACAAAGAGGAGGAGATCATGCTTCTCGACAAGATGGAGTGCAAGTGGCATGCTTGCACAAAGTTGGGGAAGCACCAAAAGAAGGAGTTGCGCCGGTTGTCGTGTCTTGTTGAGCTTGATCCGGTGAAAATGTTCACGGAGGAGGGCCGACTTCTTGCGATTAAGGCACGCTAAACGGGAGACTGAATGGAAAGGGCGGAGATGGCTGCCGCAACGGGCAGGCACAAAAGAAAGAAGGACGAGCGCTCCGGCGGAGGGAAGGACGTCGAGGTGGGGAAAGACGCCGACAAGACGGTGCAGAAACGAAAGAGGTGGCGCCAAACAACACAAGAGGAAGCAAAATGGAAAGCGAGAGAGGCATCAGCAAATGCAGCGGTGACGAAAAAAAACCAGCAAAAAAAAAACTCAGGCAAGACAAAGCGCGGGGTCATCGAAAATGACAAAAAGACACCCCCAAGACGAAGTTGGAGTCGAGGTCTGGAGAATGGAAGGGGAACAAAATGAATGACGACGGGTCGGATGGGGGGGCAGAGGGGACAGGGGGCGAGTCGTCAAACGAACAGGACGGGGCAGTGGAGGGGACGGGGGGGAGGAGTCAAATGAAGAGGATGGGGGGGCGGATGGTTATTGTGAGGATTAGGCTGTTCCGTCCGTTTTTAGTCCTATAAATGCAGCTAAGGCATGCCATAGGCAAAAACACAAACAATGATGCTAAGTTTTGTAACGTTCCAACCTTTTTAAGTTTCTAGTGTTCGAAGTTCGAACTTTGAAGTCGAGTGTGTTGGTTTTCTATTTTGTGTGCTGATTGTCTGTGTTGTGAGTCGTAACTTGTAAGTCGATAAGTTATCAGTTGTAACTTCATGAAAAGTTTATGCTAAGTTGATACTAACTTGGTGGTTGTTGTGCAAGTTCTAACTTCTCAGTAAGTTCTCACTTGCGTACGCTACTTTGTTCTCTTTGCAAACGAATGAACACGCAATTGCATCATGCACTTCTCCCTCCATACTCAGGTGAGTCTGAGACAGACAATCAGAATTTGAAGTTTTATTATTTGCTGAAGTTTTGTTGTTTGCTTGCCTCATTGACGAATGAGTGAGAGAAAAAAAAAAGAGTTTTGCCCTGAACATAGGACTTTGCACGACTTCAAAAGGAAAAAAACAGAGGTAGAGACGATTGTTGCATCTGCCCTGATTCCCCCCCGAACATTCAAACTCATAACTTCGAACAACACATTTCTGCATCTGCACCGAACCAAAAGGGGGGGGGGGGAGAGGGGGGAGGGAAATGTGGTACACTACCTGGCACCGCAACGCACCTGAAGCGCACTGGCACATAGCGCACCTCATGCAACACACAACACATAGAATGCATTGTGGTGCACACGCACCGGGGGTGTGCGCACAACGCATAGTGGCCCGCACCGCATTACGCACCGAACAGGTGCGCCGCATATATGCTATTTACTTATTTTCAACTTGTCTAACACCAAAAACGGGTAGTAGGATACTCTAATGAGGGTCATCCTATTAGTACTTATTAGGCAACAAAAAGTAGTAGGGGGATGTTGTGAGGGTCATCCTATTACTTGCTTGAAGGTTAGACTACTTATTACTCAAACAATAGTAGAGGGCTCTAATGAGGGTCGCCCTATTACTTGCTTGAGTCCAAACTAAATGTGTTCGAAGAATAGTAGGGTGTTTCCGTGTGAGTTATCCTACTACTTGTTTCTTATCTACTAACGTGAACTCGGTTGTTCAACTTTCAATGGTAGTAGATTACTCCAGTGCGAGTTAGCATATTACACATTTAAAGTCAGACTGCACATATTTAAAGGAGTAATAGAGAACTCCAGTGAGGATCATCTTATTACTAACTTCAAATCTAGACTAATCTACAGTATAAGAGAAATGTGAATTGTGTGTTGAATGCTAAAACAGCTAGTAAGGTTTTTCAGTGCTATTTGTTTTGGCCGAGTAGTTGGATACTCCAGTGTGAGTTATTCTGCTACTTGTGTGAATTGTTTATGGGCGTAACTGTCCATTGTTCGCTTGCATATGTAGATTGAATAAAACTTAAAATTGAAAGAGTAGTTTAATGCTCTAGTGTGAGTTATCCCTACTTGTTTCAATATCAATTGCTTGAAGTTGATCAGTAGCGAAAAGTTCTAGTGTGAATCGATCCACTACTTGTGTGTGTCAAATTGAGAAAAATCAAGGGAAAATAAAGAAAGAGATACTCCAGTTGGAGTAACTTTACATGTCATAAAAGGAACAGAAGAAAAACAAAAACTGCAGAAAAAAATAAAACAAAGAAAGAGGAACCGTCGCATAGACTGATTCCACATGTGGACTGTGAAAGTCATCTAAATAGAGGCTCAAGTGAGCCAAAGTCACATAAGCGCTAAAGGGTATGCTTAGTCCAAGGAGGGAAAAATGAGAGCACAAAAACTTAAAGAAATATAAATTTTTCAGTGACAACTTAAAACATGGGCGTATGTCTCATTGAGTTAAGGGAGAAGACACGAACTACATAAAGAGATTTGTGAAGTAAAACTATGAGTTGATCCTTGAGATGTCATTTCTGAAGCTTACGGACTTGCTTTGAGGACTCGAACCTCCAAAACAATGAGCGAAAAATAAGAGGGGATGTTAAAATCTTGTTGACTTGTATGTGTGCAAAAAAATATTTAATTGTTTGTTATCTTTCGATAACATGTCATTTTTTACTGATTTAACTATTCCCCTTGACTTGATACCGACACCTAAAGACAAACCTTGTAGCCAGTAAAATTGTCCTTTGTGTTCAAGTGTCTGAATAGTCTTCGTTGCTTTCAAGGATACTTTAAAACAAAGTGAGGGAGTTGAGCTCGATAAGTCTCGGGAAAGATAGAGTTGCTAGACATGGTTTGAAGAAGTGAAGGACAAGCCAATGATGTAGATTGAAGGTTGACTCCGGTGGTACAATCATGACATTTTGCTCTTAAGTCTCAATCTTTGAAACTTATTCATTATATGCAAGGTCACCAGCCCGTACGTACGGAGGTCCCCGGGCAGACCTCCGTACGTACGGGCGTTCGGGGTCCCGTACAGGGTCCGAACCCGACGGCGTTCGACCCCCGCCAAATTTTATTTCGGGGCCTAAAAATAATTATTTTTTTCTGAATTGTTTTTTGCGAGTTCTCTATGACGTGAGGTACATGCCTGTAAATTTTCAAGTGATTTGGCTAAGC